GTGTGTCCAAGAGGTGAAGTTGACGATGGCGTCGCTGTCGGCGGTGCCTAGGACTGGGACGAATTCGAGGATGAATACGTTGTTCTTCAGCACGGCCTTGCCGATGTAGAGGCCTCCTCTCCCGTGGTACAACTTGAACTCCTGTGTTGTGCTATCTGCTTCGAGGTGGATGCCCTTTGCCATCAACTGGCTGACGCTCAGTAACTTGTATCCAAGTCCCTCCGTGATTAAAACCTTTGACATTTGTAGTATGACGTTGGTCTCCCGTGACTGAAGTTGAACTATGCCTTGTCGTCGTGTGCGCAGGTTCTGATTATTGGCGTCGGTGATGACTACTTTACGCTGGAGCTGGTGTTCTCGTTGAACGAAGCGACCCGAGGAGCACATGTGCTGTCCACAACAACTGTCCAAGAACCAGGTGTCCTTCCCAGAAGGTTCGCTTTGGCCGATGGCTACATACGTTCGGTTCGGCTCCAGTAGTTCGCAGCGCGGGGTGCTTTCGTCGAGTTGTTCTTCTGGTGAGTAGTGTGGGGGTGATTCGGTGATGCAGGAGTCAGTCAATCTTGCCATGCAGCTGATGATGTTTCTTGTTCCTTGTGCAGGTTGTGTAAGTGATGTTGTTGAAGACTGCGTTTGACTCGTGGGGTGCGCCTGCGTGGATGCCACTTGGCTGCTTGAAGGACGAAGTTGACGTTGCGGCCGTGTTAGCTGCTGTCGGTTCGGGCAGTGTGTGCAAGGGTGTCCTGGCGTCTTGCAAAGATGACAAAACGGAGGTAATGATTGCTGCGTTTGATACTTGCTCTGCCGGTGGTTGTTGGTGTAGTGCCGCTGGGCGTGAAAAGCGAATTCGGGTACTGATGCTTTCTTCTTGTGTCGTTCCTCGTGCAGGTCCATGTCTTGTTGTTCTGCGTGAATTTCGGCGCAGAGTGCTGCTTCAGAGATTTTCCCGTGGGCTCGAAGAAGAGCTCGGGTTGCGCGCCAATGAGGACCAAGTCCAGCGATGATGACCGTGACGAAGGCTTCTTCTGATATTGCTCCCCCGCATCGATGGAGTCTGTCGCGTAGTCCGCGACAACGGCTGATATATGCCATTCCTTTCTCGCCTGGTCTCATCTCCACTGTTGTCAGCTGTGCCATGAGGCTTCTCTGATTGACAATGTCGTTTGCTTGATACAGGCCTTTCAGATGGTTGTACGCGAGCTCGGCGGAGTTTCCGTATCCGCGATAAGACCGAATGTTCTGCTGCTCGTCCGGCGTCATGTTGCGTAGTAGAATCGTGTATGCCATCAGCGACTGATACGTGTACTGTTGTTTGTCGTATTGTGTCCCGTGTGCTGGATATGGCAGGGACCCGTCGAAGAACCCAAGAATCTGCGCGCCTTCCATCGTCAGTTCGAATTCGAAGGACCAGGTATAGAAGTCTTTTCCGTCAAAGGGGGCAGATGTCTGCAGCTTCAGTACGTGTGCGAATTGTGATTAAACTTGAAGTGCGTCCAATGTCTTTTCTTGTCCAGGTGAGGACTGCTGGTGCGGCATGAAGCTGATGGAGCCGTGCTGAGGCTCGTACGGAGCGAAGGTAGGCTGCTGTTGCTGGTTTCCACGCGCATAGGATGAACCGTCGAGGCTCATTGGCATAACCTCGTTGTTGTTATTGTTGTTGTTTGACTGCGCAGGTGCCGTTTGCTGATGTTGTTCGTAGAAGGACATGAAGGAGAAGAACTTCTCCATCATGCTTGGGTCGAAGCCTGCAGCTTGATTTGCAGGAGTTTCAGTGGATCCCGCTGCTGGTCTTGTTGTCGTGCCCTCCTCTGTCTGTAGGCCAGAGGCAGGAGGTGGAGTAGGGGTAGTGCCGGGGGAACCGTTAGAGGAGCTTCTCTCCTTCTGAGTAGCCATATTTTGTGATGTTGTAAGTGTCTTGAAAGTAGTTGTGCTTGCCTTCATGGCTCTCATACCATGTCGGGCTGAGAAAAGCCCTTGGGATCTTTACAAGGCTAAGCTCTGAGTAGGAAATGGTGTAGTTGCGGAAGCGTTTTAATAATAAGTACTTGAACCACCTTACGCTGGTATGTGAGGGCAAAGTAGATTGGTTAAAACAAAGAGTTACAAGCTTTTATAAGAGTACAAGGAATATGAAGAGATATAACTAATAACCGTTTTACTGTTGCTGTTGCGGTTTGATACAGTGACGACTCGGGCAACTGCTCAATAACGAGTCAGTTGTTTGTCCTTGTTGTCGCGCTGTATTTGTCGAGTCAAAGGTCAGCGACCTTTGACCTTCACGTTACCTCCGGTTGTTGCATTTCTGTCAACCTCCTCGGTTGACTCACCGATGCACCGTTGTAGTTCGATTCGATTACGATTCAGTGTTGCGGCACATCAGAAACGCTTTAAGTCATTTGTTTCCAACAACCTAGTGATATGCATTAGTGGTTGCATATTAGCGTCTGCTAAGGGGGGACCCCCTACACTACATCCACCGAATCGCCAACAATGATTAAAATTACTGGAAAGTGTAGCAGCACTGAACCAGAACCTCGCTTTTGCGTGGTAGGGAGGCGAGGAGGTTCGGCACCGAAGTTCAGGTCCAAGCTTGATATGCGAAGCTTTCGGGGAGATCCAGCACGGTAGTCGAGCACTGGTGGTGAATGGCTTTCCCTGAGGTTGTCGCCCATTGCGAGCTCAAATTTTGCCGACTCCCACCGTACGTAGCGCGGTCAAAAACATTTCCACGGTCCTTTACAATACTGTTCAGGGCAGTCTCTGAAATACCTGAGGGCAGTGACCCGAAATGCTCGTCGGTTTGTTTCCCTGCAAGGAATCTTGCTGGGGAGAAGATCATACAGGGGCCGAACAGTGCCAGGGAGGTGTTCACACAGGGGCCGAGAGGCCCGAAACTAACCAAACCACTGCGCAAAAAGGTATTTGCAGAGGGGTATCATTTATTGAACGTATGTCCGTTAACTGTTTGCATTTTCGCTCGCGCGTCATTTTTCGTGAAAATGTTTACACCTTCCGCCCAATAGCGTCGTTTAGCAAGCCAGAAACTCTTAGGGCAGCCAAAAAACTAAAACCCCAAGGGGAACCTGGATGCATTTTCGGGATGGATCAACCCTAAAAACGGGAACCTTCGTTGTGTTAAAGCTGCGGCCTACATACTCCGAGCGGGAGGGCTGAGGTTATCACTTGAAAACAGGGTGACCAGTTTTTGGACTCGGCCCCCTTTCCTGCAAAGTTAACGGTTGAGAGGGGTGGAGAGAGGGGGTTGGGGTTCTTTCTGCACGAAACCGAACTCCCCAGGTTGTTTCCCGCCCTTCCGCAGACCCTCCTCTAAACCACCCGTCAGCACGAAATTGGGCTGGATTCGCGTTTCCTGTCTGAGTTCGTTTGCTGCGGTGTTTCTGAAACATGCTGACTTCGTTCTCCAATCAGGCCGCACGAAAGGGTTGGCATAAAAAATACACCAAAAAAACACCACTTAGTATGTAGACCGCAGCTTTAAGGGTTGATGCCTCCCTAGTCGCATCCATTTCCGAACGGGTACTTTTTTTTTCTGCGTGTTTCCGATCAGGGAGTGATATTTATCACCCATAATGAATTTGTTTTTGGGCTCACAAATTAGCACAGCAATATTTAGTTCCAGAAGAACGCGATGTGCGCGTAGTAGTAGACGGCGGTCGTAACCATTTTTTCAATAAGTTGGAGACAAAGTTTGGTGCTAGTAGCATTTCTCTTTTAGTCACGGTTCGGCTTGTTCGCCTAGCCTCTTGGGCAGCTCGGGGTCGAAAATCCTACGGTCGAGATTTTCTGGCCCTACTTTGGTCATCCCTCTGGCACTCTTCGGCCCCAGTTTGATCATCTCCCATCTTGCTGTGGAAGCAGAATGGGCCTCGGGCAGCCACACGATCTTTGCGAGGGCACATGAGCACAAAGTTGGGCAGATCAGGGCCTCGAGAAATCCTCACGCCGTTCTCGCTCCCGAGCCTGACAAGCCCTGCTTCCGAGCCTGAGCAGCCCTCCTTCCCGACAAGCCAGGGGACACCTCCACCCCCTCCATTCCCCATCTTGAAAGTGCCTACAAATCTGCACCCAAAGCATTGATGCAATCATCCAAGCTTGTGCATACTATCGGTTCTAGCACAGGAATCACTCAACGTTTGCTCTCGTGAAGAATCCGCACTATGGCCTCAGTTTCTGACTACCCGTCGTACTTCAACGTTCTTAGCTTCTGGAAGAGCCTCGATAGCAACAAGCCGACGCAGCCATCGCTGCCGCCTCCGAGTCGGAGCTCCTACAGCAACGCGAGCAAACTCCGCCAGGTTAGCAGCCTCAGCGTGACGCCCTGCTGCAGCGAGGCCAGCGACGCGATGCTTTCATGCGCTGAACCTACCATTGAGAGCGTCGACGACGCCAGCCGCAGCGACGCCTGTCTTATTGAAGCTCCAGCATTGCACGGTTCGACGACGTCGCCGGATCCGATGATGTCCGATCCGACGGCCTCTGATCCGTCAGTTCCAGATCGGGAAACGACAGATTTGGTGGCTTTCGTAGCGGCTGTGGCCTCGGAAACCACCACCTCAGAACACGTGACGTCCGAAACGTCCAATTCAGTGGAGTCCGAATCGTCGGTGACATCCGAACCGATGATGTCGGAACCAGTGACATCAGAATCGGTGACATTGACATCAGAATCGGTGACGTCAGAACCAGTGACATCAGAATTGGTGACGTCAGAACCAGTGACATCAGAACCGGTGACGTCGCCGCCAGTTGAAGTTTCTCCGACGGCCGTAGCAGCTGGCTTGGCCAGGGCAGCTCCTACACTTTCAGTGCATCATGCCTCAAACCTGCTGCCGTCTCGCATCCCCAAACCAAGCGGTCAGAGAACGATATTGAAAAGTTGCGCGGAGGGGACGACGTTGATTCCGTGGCCCGCAGGAGCCGCTGCAGCCGAGAGGCAGGTGCGAAGCAGGAGTTCCAACGGCGCGAAGCAGCTTGACGACATGAGTGGTGCAATCTCCGCGGCTGTAGTGAAGAAGGTTCGTGCTGGATTGGCCTCCAAGGTGGTACTGGCTGCGAGCTCACGGCGTCCATGGCGGCCATAAGCGCCGCTGTGACTTGCTGCAAGCTCCAGCCTCCAACGTGCTGGGCTGATATACCTAGACTGCACCCGCGCCATATGAGAAAGGGGACCTCCCCTAGGGCACCTCCCACTGGATCCCTGTGGGAAAGGGTTCCCGATTCTTTCTGGGTGAAAAAAAAAAGACACAATAAAAGCGTAAAAAAACACACGAAAAAGGAAAAAACGAAAAAAAAATGGAGTCATTTGAAAAGCAGCTAAGGATTAAGTCCAGCGGTATTGCAGAGCCTCGAGCAGATTGCAGCAGTAAAGGGAGGTGGTTGGGAGGTTGGGGAAGTGGGATGATGGTGGGTCCTTTTTCTGCACCCTGCTCATCAGGGTGTTCGGTTCGGGAGAGTGGGTTGGGAAACTGGTGGGGTGGAAGGATTATCAATCATCTGCTGTCAAGCGGCTGTGGCTGTGCTTTCAGTGCTGTCAGTGTGCTCCTCCAGGTTGACATCAAGCCCACTGCGCTCCCCACGGGATGCCTCTGGTCCGGTGCGCTCCCAAAGGGATGGCTCTGGTCTGGTGCGCTCCCAAAGGGATAGTTCTGGTCCGGTGCGCTCCCAGAGGGATGGCTCTGGTCCGGTGTCCCAAAGGGATAACTCTGGTCCAGTGCGCTCCCAGTGGGATGGCTCTGGTCCGGTGCATTCCCAGAGGGATGGCTCTGCTCCGGTGCGCTCCCAAAGGGATGGCTCTGGTCTGGTGCGCTCCCGAAGGGATGGTTCTGGTCCGGTGCGCTCCCAGAGGGATGGCTCTGGTCTGGTGCGCTCCCAAAGGGATAACTCTGGTTCGGTGCGCTCCCAGTGGGATGGCTCTGGTCCGGTGCACTCCCAGAGGGATGGCTCTGGTCCGGTGCGCTCCCAAAGGGATGGCTCTGGTCCGGTGCGCTCCCAGAGGGATGGCTCTGGTCCGGTGCGCTCCCAGAGGGATGACTCTGGTCGGGTGCGCTCCCAGAGGGATGGCTCTGGTCCGGTGCGCTCCCAGAGGGATGGCTCTGGTCCGGTGCGCTCCCAGAGGGATGGCTCTGGTCCGGTGCGCTCCCAGAGGGATGGCTCTGGTCCGGTGCGCTCCCAGAGGGATGGCTCTGGTCCGGTGCGCTCCCAGAGGGATGGCTCTTGTCCGGTGCGCTCCCAAAGGGATGGCTCTGGTCTGGTGCGCTCCCAAAGGGATGGCTCTGGTCCGGTACGCTTTCAAAGGGATGGCTCCGGTCCGGTGCGCTCCCAGAGGGATGGCTCTGGTCGGGGCACTTCTAATGGTTGCATGAGCATACCTTGACACGCCAGTTGGGCTATATTCTTGCTCATCTTGTATTGGCCTTATTCATGTAATCAATAAATGCTTGTTGAAGAAATTCTGTGTTTTGACGGTACGGTACTATAGTGTGCACAGTACAATCAAAGGCAACAACAGCCTTCTCTCTTCACACGCAACCTATACACCCACCATTGAGCCTAAACAGCGCAACATTTCAAGATGTAATGTTGCCAAAAGATAGCACATACTGTGCACTGAAGCCAATGTTATCAGGGGGGTCAGCACTTGAGATGACTCTGTCAAAGTATATGCATGTTATATGTATGTAGGCTGTAGTGGGGTAGCCAATTTGGGGTACAGCCCCGTTTAGGGTTTCATACTTGTACCCAACTCTTCCATAGTGCATTCATTCGTGCTGCTAGATTCTGACATGGTTTCAGAGCACTAGGTCCGTAGGACCGTCTTTTTTTTCGGGCCCACCTACCGTTGCGGTTACCGCGCTACCCCACGTGTTGTCCTGCCCTGCCTTGTGACGTGCTGCGCTGCGCGCGCCGTCCTGCAGCCCTCGCGCTGCCTCCTGCTGCCCTAGGCCAGCGTGCCGCCCCTGCAGGCCCGTAAGGACAGCGCGCCGCCCCTGCAGGCTCGTAAGGCTCATGCGCCGCCCCTACAGGCCCGTCAGGCCCACGAGCCGCCCCTGCAGGCCCGTCAGGCCCGCGAGCCGCCCCTGCAGGCCCGTCAGGCCAGAACGCGGCCCCGCCCTGCCTCTGACGCGGCCGTGCCCTGCCTTCGATGCGGCCGCGTCCTGCAGCCGACGCGGCCCCGCGCCCTGCAGTCGACGCGGCCCCGCCCTGCCTCTGACGCGGCCGCGCCCTGCCTCTGACGCGGCCGCGCCCTGCAGCCGACGCGGCCCCGCCCTGCCTCTGACGCGGCCGCGCCCAGCCTCTGACGCGACCGCGCCCTGCCTTCGACGCGGCCGTGCCCTGCAGTCGACGCGGCCCCGCCCTGCCTTCGACGCGGCCGCGCCCTGCAGTCGACGCGGCCCCGCCCTGCCTCTGACGCGGCCGCGCCCTGCAGCCGACGCGGCCGCGCCCTGCAGCCGACGCGGCCGCGCCCTACCTCTGACACGGCCGTGCCCTGCAGCAGACGCGGCCCCGCCCTGCCTCTGACGCGGCCGCGCCCTGCCTCTGACGCGGCCGCGCCCTGCCGCCGATGCGGCCCCACCAGCCCTGCAGCTGACGCGGCCCCGACCTGCCGCTTACGCGGCCCCACGCTGCAGCTGCCGCGGCCCTACTCTGCAGCCGCTGCTGCGGCCCCGCCGTCGCCGCCGTCGTGCGCCTACCCTGCCGCCGCCCGCCGAGCGCCGGCCCTTCCCACCACTAGTGAGCACCTGCCTTGTTCGCGCACTTCCGCGCCCTCTGCCTGCCTGCCAGCCTGCCTGCCCGCCTGCCTGCCTGCCTGCCGCGCCTGCCCTGCCCGCGCTGCTGCTGCTACTACTGCTACTGCTGCTACTGTCGGTGGCCAGATGTAGCTCCAGCGACGTCCGCGCGAAACACTTACGCCCCAGCAGCTTCGTGAGTGGTACGCTAGTTGGGGTTGTGGCGGTAGCCGTCGTGGCTGTCGCCCTGGAGCTGGTCAGCCGGGAGCGTCTGGCAGTGGCCAGCTGCAGCTGCAGCGGCGTCCGCGCGAGACACTTACGCCCCAGCAGCTTCGTGAGTGGTACGCTAGTTGGGGTTGTGGCGGTAGCCGTCACGGCTGTCGCCCTAGAGCTGGTCAGTCGGGAGCGTCTGGTAGTGGCCAGCTGCAGCTGCAGCGGCGTCCGCGCGAGACACTTACGCCCTAGCAGCTTCATGAGTGGTACGCTCAGAGTGGAGGGTCTCCGAGTACCGTTGGCTGCCCGTACGTCATTCGCACAGGTGATCGGGCTGGTCAGGCTTGCGGGACGCTTAGTCACACGCAGTCCCGCTGCTTCGCTCGGCTGAGTGACGCCTGGCGTACCGAGTTTGGCGACGAGGCTGAGCTCCCCTCCTGGCTGGAGCTGCTTAGGCAGAAGGTAGATATCTTTGCTCTTGACTATGATGCTATTCTCACTGCCATGTATGCATTGCCTACTAGTGCTGACGGTGCCTGTTACCTGTGTGTCCCGCCTGACCCAGGTATAGAGCCTGCTGCTCTAGGTGCTGGTGAGGCTGCTGCTCTAGGTGCTAGTGCGTTCCTTGCTCTAGGTGCTGGTGAGGCTGCTGCTCCAAGTGCTGATGAGTCTTCTCTCTCTAGTACTGCGCCTGCTGCGGCCTTGTACACCTTCATACTTGACTCAGGTGCTTCCCGCTCCTTCTTTCGCGACAGCACCACCCTCACGCCGCTCAGTCGGCCGGTTCCGGTCTCCCTGGCAGACCCCTCTGGGGGTCCAGTCCTTGCGCACTCCTACACGGTCCTGCCATGTCCGGCGGTCCCGTCTGGCTCCCTGTCAGGTCTTCACCTCCCCTCGTTCTCTACGAACTTGGTGAGTGGTGCTGACCTCCAGGACCAGTGGGTTGACCAGTTCACTCCTGGAGGTCAGCGCGTGACCCACTGTACGTGCTCCCGGACGGGCCGGCACCTGGCCACGTTTACCCGTGCGCCTGGCTCGAGTCTGTACACACTGACTACTGTGTCCCCTCAGGTCGTTGCGTCAGCGTTTGCGTCAGGTCAGCTAGCGGCCCCCTGCTCGTGTCGCGCTTTGTCGCACCAGACCCTCCTTTGGCACCACCGTCTTGGTCACCCTTCGGTGCAGCGCCTTCGTAGCATGCACTGCCGTGTCCTTGTCTCTGGTCTTCCCAGGGTTCTCCCTCCCCTCCCACCCTCGCCTGCTCCTCCCTGTCTTCCCTGTGTCGAGGGGCGGCAGCGCGCCGCTCCTCACTCCTCCTCGTTCCCTCCCACAGAGGATCCTCTGCAGAATCTCCATCTGGAGGTGTGGGGCCCAGCCCACGTCCGTGGACAGGGCCACGAGCGGTACTTCCTGCTGGTCGTCGACGACTACACGCGTTACACCACGGTCTTCCCCTTGCAGCGCAAGGGGGAGGTCCCTGATGTTTTGATCCTTTGGATCCGCGCTGTTCGTCTCCAGCTCCGCGAGCTGTTCGGGACGGACTTTCCTGTCCTGCGTCTACACTCTGACAGAGGTGGTGAGTTCTCCTCAAACCTCTTGGCAGCCTTCTGTGTGGAGCACGGCATCCGCCAGACGTTCAGGGTTCAGCTCTGGGTGAATCACAAAGGGGAGAAGGCAACAAGGGCGGCACCCTAAACCATGGGCAGTATTCACCAGCACATTGCTAAGCAAAAACGAGGGGATAACGACGAGATCAGGAAGGTCAGTCTTGCCTTCCTGATCCCTGTCAGAAACTAACGAGCAGGAATCGTTGCATTGACATCAAACAAAGTACAAGTACTAACCCTAATTGGGTTGTACCCCATATAGGCTACCCCACTACAGCCTATACAACACAAGTAGCATTATAGTTTGACACACCCCCATAGGCAAAGTGGGGGAGAACAAGGGGTCACAAGACCAGTCAAGAAAAGCAAAGCAAGCTCAGGGTGGATCACAAAGTCACCACACACTCTGAGCACAAGCAAATTGCCAGAGGGCCGGTCCACATGCAGAGTTATATAAAAGATAGCAAATAGTACAGTGATCACTACCTAGCAAGAGTAAGCATGCAGGTATATACATAGGTCACAGTACAAGCAAAGTTAAGCAGTGAGCAAGTGAGGCAAAACAAGCACAAGGCCCAACACAGTACAAAAGCGCTGATGATCACAATGCTGAAGTGCCTTGGTGAATATATATCAGTAGTGTTGGCCCGAATGGCCACGTAAGCAATACCAAGATGACCACGCTGCTGCAACTCTCGAGCAAGGAAATAACGCAAAGCGATGTGCTTCGTTCTGTGCTCTAGTCTATGCTCCTGACACAAGGTAATTGCAGCCTTGTTGTCTACGTACAGAACTGGAGGAGAACGAGGCCGCTCTCCCAAGTTGGTAAGCAGGTAGGTGAGCCAGCGTAACTCCTGTGCAGCCATGGCTATCGCGTAGATCTCAGCCTCACAACTGGAGCTGAGAACAGAAGACGAGCAGATAGACCGCAAAGAAACAGAGCCGGAGCCAAGGCTGAACGAGTAACACTGAGACGACCGCTGCATAGTCAGGTCGTCAACCCATGAAGCGTCTTAGTGTCCAGTGAGGACAACGTCGCCCCGCCCTCCAAGCACGAGCCCCATGCCCGAGGTACTGCATAAGTAACTCAGTACCCTCTTCTCAGCATCCCAGTGCACCTTTTGGTGCCTACCAAGAGCCACGTAGCGTGCTAGAAGGTACGCAAGGTCAGGACGAGTGCAGGTCATCAGGTACATGAGGCAGCCCACTAGCTTTGGATACAGGCCACTCGGCTCTACGGACTCGTCCGAAGGTGGAGCTGAGAGCGAGTGACCGGTAGGCAGAGGAGTGGACTGTGGCGAGGACCAAGTGAAGCCGAAGCGCTGAAGGACCTGCTGCACCATGTGTGACTAAGTCAGGGTGATGGTGCATCGTGCTCTGTCCCGGGTGATCTGCAAGCCAAGATAGCTGCGCACCTCACCCAGGTCTGTGCACATGTGTCTCTTCTGTAGCTCCGACTTCACAAGTGCGAGTGCCTCAGTGTCAGCAGTGGCAAAAACCAAGTCGTCGACGTACACGAGGATGTAGAACGGCGGCAGCGAAGAGTCGGTGCGGAGAAACAACGACGGGTCAGCACTCGAAGGAGCAAACCCAAGTGCCGCAAGTGTCGTCCCCAGTGTGTCGTGCCACTCACGAGGCTCCTGGCGGAGACCGTAGACTGGCTGTCGGAGGCTCCACTCGGTACCTGCAGGAAACGACCTAGTGTAGCCAGGTGGACGGCGCAGCCAGATCTCCTCGTGCAGGCTGCCCTGTAGGAAAGCTGTGCTAAAGTCAAGAGAGTGAAGCTCGTAGTCACGCTGAGCGGCAACGTGCAGAAGCACCCGAAGAAT